GATTTTTAAATAAAAAATATTTTAATAATTGAGGGATAGTTTCACCCCCTTAGAATTCGAGTTTCAAAAAATCCCTTCATATCGAACCTCTACACCCTAAAGTCAATCTGTTTTCCAAAAATCAGCTTTTTACGTCAAGCGCTTTAAGCTGGATCGTGATTAATCAATGACCAGATTTTTCAAAACACCCTGTATATATTTTTAAAAAATCTTAAAATATGTAAAAAAAAACAAAATAAAATATACGTATTTAAGCGTTTTTTCGGACACTTGACCGTTTTTTAAATAAAAAATATTGTAATATTTGAGGGGTGGTTTCACCCTCTTAGAACTGGAATTTCGAAAAATCTCTTCTTATCGAACCTCTACACCTTAAAATCAACCTGTATACCAAAATTGAGCTTCTTACGTTGAGTGGTTTGAGCAGGATCGTGATTAATCAGTATGTTAGTCACTTAAGGATTTTATATATTAGTATAGATTTATTATAATAAAATTAAATAATAAAAATATTTTAATTATATTCCTGCAGTTTAAGTGAAGTTTTGTTCTTAAATACCTACTCTACATATTATTAACCCGTGTTCAAATATTAATTTTGTGAAATATATATCAACATAAAACGAGCTGTAATTAACGAAATATCATCGTAACAACAGATATTTTAGAAACGTCTAAGGGTTTACTTATTTCAGTGAGATTTATGAAAAAAAGTCCTTTGCCTGGGTTCAGATACCGCCACGTTTTCGAAATAGCTCATAACGAAACAAAATTGAAAGAGGCAACAAGAAACGCCATATTACACACATAGTCTTCTTAGTTCCTAAAATACAAGGCAAATTTTAAAATGTTGCATTTTTCGACCCTCTTCATATCTTGTTTAATTTCAGTTGAGCCACTGAATTTTACTTGGAAATCTCTATGGAGCTCGATTTTCACCCTTTCGATAAGTTATAATGACCGAGATATGAGAGGAGTCGAAAAATGCAACAATTTCAATTTCGCCCTGTATTTCAGGAACTAAGAGGGCTAGGACAAATATGTGTGTACCATTTTTAGTTTCATAAAAAAGTAGCATAGCAATGTAAAAACCGCATCTTATACTCATAAACGAGAAACCCTGTAAAACACGCGAAAATGGGTCATCCTGTACAAAGTACCACAAAATTTAATTTAAGTTGTGTTTTTATGTTCGTTATGCTTTTATGTTTATTTTTTTATTTTTGGTTATATTAGTCTATGAGAATAAATCGCTTTGTTTTAAGTGGGTTTATCCTCATCTGTAAAATTAATAATATGACACATAGTAACAAATCGCTAATTATTGTTTGAATTTATTGAAAGAAAATTAATACTAACATTTAAATAAAGGTACTTAAATTGAATTCTGATTGTCTTAACTTGCATATCATCATGATTTAAGTCAAAAAAATAGACTTAATATAGTCATGAAAACGACTTAAATAACGTTACATTGATTTAAGTCTTTACAAAAATGACTTGATTGGAAATAAAATGATTTAAGTAAAAGACTTAAGACTTAAATCATTTGAACTTCATGTTGAATTTGACTTAAGATGTACCTTTGAATGTGACTTCATTTGTGACTTTTTAAATTCGCTTGTCATATTCAAAGCTCCACCTAACTTAAGACTCCCTTAAATTCGTTGGTGCAAACCATCATAATCATTTTGATTTTAGAAATCAGTTAAGACTTAAGGCCTTGGTTTATTCTTTGCTTAAGACTTAAATCTTTTTAAAACTAACTTGTTACAACTCTGCTGGACGCCGTTTTTTCTTCGATCATAGGGTATTTATAAGAGGCTTTAAAATTATTTAAACCTAGGCCTAATGATTCGTCCGTATATTGTATTATTTCGTAACTTATTTAAAAATCTAAAATGCGATAGGTCAATGGATTCTTCATGAATTTGTTTTTGTTAATACTCGAGCATGACAATATTATGATTTTTTCTTAACACCATTAATTGTTAATGTAATACAAGGAGATTGGGCCATTGACAAACACTTATACTCAAGAAGGTTAGAATACAAATTTTCACTTATTGATTGAGTAAAAATACAACTGTTGTAATGATTTCTTAAATGTTATTTTTCAAGTAGACTAAAATCCTAGTGTCACAGATAAAATCACTATCATAATAATATTTAATATTTTTGTAATTTGATTTAGGTAAAATAACTGAGTTTTTGCTTTGAATTATAGGGTGTTTCCATATTTCGTGGATATACAGGGTGAATCTTAAATAAGTGCAAATATTTTTATGGGTAGTATATTTTGACCCCAGAAACACGATTAAAAGAAGTTTTTTCGCGAAAAAAAAAATTGAAAATTTGGTATTTTTTTTTAAAAATTTTAGAAATTTGTTTAGTTTATAGTTAAAAAACATAATTTGTTGATAGTATGGCAACATAGGTAGTAGATTAAATTTACAAGAAAGAAAATCTAGAAAAGATTCAGTGGTTCTCAAAATTTTAGCAAAAAAATATCTTTTTTTGGAAATTTTCAAAGTAAAATAAGTCGGTGATTTATTTGAAAAACGGCAAGGAGCAAAATATGTTTCTTTAATCGAGATCTACCAGCCCTGAAAATATTTGCACTTATTTAAGACTCACCCTGTGGAACTAGTATTTTTAGAATCAAAATAAGCTCATTGGACACAATTTATCTACACACCTCTATACAGGGTGTCCCAGAAATAACTGCAAATATTTTAACTGGTAGTATATTTCGGCCTCAGAAACACGCCTGCACCTCATTTTTGCGAAAAAAAAAAGATTTTTTGAGTTTTTATTTAAAAACATAATTTCTTAATAATATGGCAACATAGGTAGTAGCTTAAATTTACATGAAAGAAAATCCAGAAAAGATCCAGTGGTTCTCAAAATTTTAGCAAAAAATCATTTTTTTGGAAATTTTCAAAGTAAAATAGCTCGGTTATTTTGGACTTTATTTTGGACAGTTATTTTGATTTGAAAAACGGTAAAGAGAAAAAATGCTTCTTTTGACCAGATACCAGATCTACCACCCCTTAAAATACTTGCACTTTTTTCTGGGTCACCCTGTACAGTCCGGGAAGGATGAAAACTGAAATTGGTTCTCCTAGTATTTACTACATTTTTTGTCTCTTGTAAAAAAGCCATATCACATAGTTTTTGAGAAAAAAATATATAAAGATTTTTTTTCCAAAACAGACCTACAAAATATATTGGGAGTTCTAATATTCCGTGGACATAATTTTTTCAATCAAAAAAGATCATTGCACACAATTTACCTCTATACAAAAGTGCTTCGTTTGTCCATTAGATGGAATCAATCAAAAATAAACCCGAACGTTAATTAATTTAAAATTTATGAAGCTTATTGTCAAATATCATTTGTGATACCGACATAAAATTATATAATTTCACCAACTAGATTATTAGCGCATACTAGATTTTATGCGCCTATACATAGCTTAATGTGACAAGAAACATTCAAGTCAGGTTTTGAAAAACATTTTTTTCCTCAAAAAGTATATGCGCGGTGGCGTTTTCTTACAAGAGACAAAAATGTAGTAAATACTAGAATGGCCATTTTAACCAAACCTAACCAACGGTCTAAGACACTCGAAAAAGTTTAGAACAGAACTTACGACCGAGAAAAATCAAAGGTTTTCCTGGAAAATGGGGAAACACCAGAACACCTTATCACTGAGTGCGCCGAGACGACGACCCTTCGTGCCATGAACTTTGGTACGGCTGGTGTCGAGGATGGAGAGCTGGCCTCGGAGGAGCCGTCTCAGATACTGGCTTTTGTTAAAGCCCTGAGACTGTATGATGAGTTATAACTCGTTATAACTCAAGAACAATAGATCTGTAAGGTCGCGGTGATTAACTCCCCTCCTAAACATTCTACATTCTACAAGGACCATTTTACGAAAAAAAATAGATGTTGATGGAATCGGAAAATACTTCTACTTATGAACTACTATGTAGTTTTCACCCTTCCAACAACAGGTTTCCTTTACTCCTTTAAGGCACGTCCATAGTGCACCGGCTTTCCGCTTTCCTCGGTTCACAGATCCCATCGCTTTGTGAACCTGCGCAATTGAAGCAAGTTAACAACCGCTTGCGCGAAGCAGGCATGTCTCATTTCGCACCAAAGAGCTATTTCTTGGGGGTATATTATGTCTTTTATTAGCTAGTGATCATATTTATATTAAACTGAAACAAGAAATAAATACTCATGTTCATATATAATATATACAGGGTTGATCACCACATACGACACGGAGTATTGTAGCTACACGATTAGATTTTTACAAATTGTAAGTTTTGGGTTCGTTGAAGGACTATTAGAGCTACAATTTAAAAATATTTTTACAAGATACATAGTGTCCCAAATAAATAAAAAATGTCAAAGTTGTATTTTTTTAAATAGAACACCCTGTATATTATTACATTTTTAGTTTCTACGATTAAAATAAAGGTAAATTTGATAACGGTTTATTACACTTAAACCTTACCGTTTTTGAAATATTTTCAATTTTGTGAAATTGCAGTCAAAATTTTAAGGCTTCATTTCTCCAAGGGTATCAAAGTTTTTAATACTAAAAATTTACTGAAGTTTATTTATTGATCAGTTATTGTGTTGCAATAATAAAAATTATACTACCTTATACAGAGTGTCAAAATTTTATTTTAAATAATTACTAGCTTTAAACGGCAATAACTTTTTTTTTGTTAGAGAAGAGGGGAAGCGATTTACCGCCGAAGTGTGGGGCTCAATGCGACAATGCCATATTAGCCGCATAATACCCACTAAACCCCTCTCCTATGCTAGGAGTGGATGTCGATCGCCGTGAGGCATACGGATGCATCCACTCCTACCTTTACTAGTCACTTCGTCGACGTTGAATCGCTCTAGTAGCTCGCTTAAACTTAATCTTTATCCTCACAGAATCGACCATCACTGACAGGGGCCCATGCAGGACAATTTACATAGTTCTATTACGTCTTGCGGCCACTACCTCGTCGACTTCAATAAGAATGTCGAGACACAGCTGGTCAACAGCTTTCCAGCAGTGCTCATCACGCAGCATAACCGTGATGAGGCTTCCCTCAGTCAGAGGTCCTGTGATGGCTTCCGTCTCAGTTCTCAGTGCCGCATGTCGGTCGCATTCCAATAGTACGTGCCCGGCATCCTCTACATCGCCACAAGCTCCGCAGTGAGGAGAGGCAGCTTTTCCGATGCGATGCCTGTAGGCAGCGAACGTACCATGTCCGCTCAGAAACTGCACCAAGCAGTATGTAAGTCTCCCATGGTCTCTCCGTAGCCATGGTCTCAGGTCTGATATCCAGCGCCGAGTCCATCCGCCCCGATCGCTGCTTTGCCATCTTCTATTCCACAGCTCCAGGAATTTTTCTTTTTTTGCCTTGATGGCACCTTTTTCTAACCGTAAGATTCGCTCCTATATCTAGCTTGTAGGTCTAGAGGCATTATCCCAGCGAGCACTTGTAGTGCTTCTGTGGACACTGTCCTGTTTGCCCTGCTTACATATAGGAGCACCGTCCTCTGTGCCCGGTTTAGAGCGTCAACATTCTTTGCCAGCTTTAGAGCGGTTTCTGCCCATGTGGGTGCAGCATACAGCACAGCCGACGCGTGTGCAGTTGCCAGCATCCTGCGTGCCCAATCGCCGGCGCCACCATCGCGCGGCATGAGTCTTGTTAGAGCTCTTGCACTCTCCGCTGCATTCTTTGCCTTTGTCTGAGTGTGGTAGACAAAGGTGCCATTTTTGTCTAGCCAGACGCCCAAGTATTTAATCTCGTTCTTAATTGGCACTTGTACTCCCAGAATGTTGACCTCCAAAGCCCCTACCAGTTTTGCTCTGCCGGTCAGTCTGCAAACACAGGTCTTTTCAGGAGCTAGTTCTAGCCTTCTACTTTCTATCCACAGCCTTACATTTTCAGCGGCTATCGTTGCAAGTCTCTTGGCTTCATCCAGACCTTTACCTATAGACACAACGGCTAAGTCGTCCGCAAAGGCTATCGTGTAGACGCCACTGGGTTGATCGATGGCGAGAACCGGATCATACATGATGTTTCACAAAAAAGGTCCTAAAACTGACCCCTGTGGAACTCCCATACTGACTATCTTGCTGTAACCACTCCCAGTAAGAACCACCCGTTTGGAGAAATAACTCTTTACGATGTTGAGTAAATATTTCTGTATTCTCCTTCTCTCCAGCTCTTCTATAATTATGTCCCACCTGGCCGTGTTAAACGCATTTTTCACGTCCAAAGCTACCATCAGGCAGGTCTCCCTGTGCCTGTATCCACCAGCCTTTGCGCTCTCAGCGAGCTGCAAAATTCTCTTAACAGCCTCCACGGTGGAGCATCCATTGCGAAACCCGTACTGTTCTGAGTTCAGTTCTTCATTATTGGCTGTTATATTTTCCTCCAATCTGGTATGGATTATACGCTCAAGTAATTTGCCCATCGCGCTGATTAAGCAGATCGGTCGTAGGCCTCCAGGCTCTCCTGGGTCTTTTCCCGGCTTGGGAATCAAAACGACTCGTGAACTTTTCCACTGATCAGGAAAACGTCCCTCGCGCAGTAACTTTGTCATGGCCTCTGCCAGCTCTTCGGGATAATCATATGCCAAAATCTTTACCGCCTCTGCAGGAATGTTGTCAAGTCCTGGAGCCTTGTGGATTTTCAGGGTGGCTGCCGCAATTTTTATCTCCGTTCGTTCGATGAGAGGGATACTATTTCCATCAGTTGAATCTAGCTCCCATCTAATTATAGGTGTGTCAGGAAACAGTCTATCTACCTGCACTCTTGTAATGTTATCCGGCACTACCGGGCTCACCTGTTTGCCAAATCTTTTTGTCACAAGACGATATGCCGTGCCCCAAATGTCGTTCTCCACCTCGTTAATGAGATTTCTGAACGAATCTTTTTTTGCAGCCTCAATTGCGCGTTTAGCAGCTCTCCTGGCTATTACCAGTTCTTGTCTGGCGGCAGTCTCTTCCTCCGTTGGTGCACCTCTCTTGTGTAGCCTCGCAAGCCTGCGATGTGCAGCATTTTTGACTTTAAGAGCATCGGAGACTTGAGGTGTCCACCAATACACGGTGTCTTTCCGTGGTCACCCTTTGGGCCTAACACTATCGCATGCATTTCTTAGTGCTTTTTCAATTGCCTCTATAGTGTTTTCCCTGACAGTAAGCATGGATTCAGCGAGCCTGTCTCTGAATCTTGCGGTGACATGGTTATTCCATCTAATTTGTCTATGAGGTGGCCTATGTTCTTTCAAGGTTAGACTAGTATGAAAGATTATGGTTCTGTGGTCGCTCGCGGAATCTTCGTCAAGTAGCTTCCAGTCCGCATTAATATTGTTTGCCCCTGCTTTCCAGAAGGTGACATCGACAATACTTGATCTGCCACCCTTGCTGAAAGTGGGCGTATTTCCCTGGTTTAATAGTTCTAGGCCATTTTGTGCGGCCCACTCAGCGATCATAGTGCCTCTGGTATTGTTACATCTTGAACCCCAGCTAACATGCCAGCCGTTCATATCGCCACCCACGAGGAGACTTATTCCATTTGGTGCCGATTGCACTAGCCCAGACATCTCATCAAGATCATTTGAGACCTCTCCTATCGTGGCGTTGGGGTGCAGATATACAGATAAAGCAATCATTTTTCCAAGCTTGGCAGCTACATAGCTCCTTCCCTTCCAAAGTTCGTCGCAGGCTCCGTTTCTCAACCAGATAGCTGCATTGAAGTTTTCACTACAAACCCATCCAGGGTATTTGTTAAGGACAGCTTTGTTTGGTTCAGACACTAGTGCAGTGTTGGCATCATATTTATTAGCCAGGACAAATAAGGCGTCATGAGCTGCTTTGCTTTTGTTTAAGTTACCTTGTACAAGGTAAGTTGTAGTAACATTGTTTAAGTTACCTTGTACAAGGTAACAAGGTAAACGGCAATAACTTGATTAATTTAAATAGAACACCATGTGTATTTTATGAGAATCAGATGCACAATTTAATTATCTATCAAATTGTATTATACCATTCTTTACTTATCTCTTCAAGTTTCCGTATAAAATGCATTTTCTTATAATTTAGAACTCATTTATCAATATACCCATGGAATACTTACATTTTAGATTATTTTTAAAGATGTACCAAATTTTTAGAGTACAGATACTAATATTATCTAAATAGTTTGTGGATTTCATTGATATATAAAAAAAGCTGTTTAAATATTTGTTAAAGAGGACCAATTAATATGATTCCAGTATTCAAACTATATTAATTGACTGTTTGCGTTGTTAATAATAATTACTCCAAATACTAAAAAACTGAATTTTGTATGTGTATTAGAGACTGTGGTAAAAAGTAACACCTTGAAAATGATATTTCATTTTTTGACAAATGCTTATTTATAACAACAGAGACATTCATTTTCATAACTTATTATTTTATTGATTTCTGATTCAAATCCACATTTGTTTAGAATAATTTATTAACGAACATAATTAAGTATGTAATTAATTAGTATTTGGGCGGAAATAAAGGTGGTATATTTAATTAATGGTATACTTTTTTATAAAGATTTAAATAGTTTTCTTTTTGCATACAAATGGGCTAGTAATATTATCATTTTGCTAAAAACGATATATTACATTTTATACATTTGTTACTTTAAGAACAATCTAAAATGTCAATATTCCATGGGTATATTGATAAACGCGGTCTAAATTATAAAAAAATGTATTTTCTACGAAAACTTGAAGGGATAGGTAAAATGTCGCATAATACAATTTGATAGACAATTAAATTGTGCATCTGATTCCCCTAAAATATACAGGGAGTTCCATTTAAATTAAACAAGATATTGCCGTTTAAAGCTAGAAATAATTTAAAATACATTTTTAGACACTCTGTATGAGGTAGTATTGTTTTTGTTATTGCAACACAATAACTGATCAATAAATAGACTTCAGTAAATATCTAGTATTAAAAACTTTCATACCCTTGGAGAAATAAAGACTTAATATTTTTACTGCAATTTTACAAAATTGAAAATATTTCAAAAACGGTAAAGTTTAAGTGTAATAAACCTTAATCAAATTTACCTTTATTTTAATCGTAGAAACTAAAAATGCAATAATATACAGGGTGTTCCGTTTAAAAAAATACAACTTTGATATTTTTTATTTATTTGGGACACTCTGTATCTTGTAAAAATATTTTTAAATTGTAGCTCTAATAATCCTTCAACGAACCCAAAACTTACAATTTGTAAAAATCTAATCATTTAGCTACAATACTCCGTGTCGTATGTGGTGAACAACCCTGTATAATAGCTCCCGTATATAGCGTTTAACGCCTTGGGAGTAGCAAGGTACAGCTTGCCATGCTAGAACCGTTCGGTATACAAGGAAGGTAATGTGGCTAGCACTACGCTTCAACCGCCTATTATTACCTCAGGATTGTGAATCCCAAGTACTCATGTAAGGCTGAGTCGACCTAGGTACTCAAACTATTTTTATTTTAATAAAAATAGTCGGCTGATGAAATGCCGGGTGTGGGATTCGAACCCACTACCTTCAGATTGGTAGACGAGAGCCTGTACCTCTATGCCACCGGGCACCTTATGTTCATATATAAAAACCTTAAAAGTATACGGCATAAGAGTATTATCAAATTGAGAGGTCTCATTGAGAATTTCGTGAATATCATTCGTTATATCCACAACTCATAGCTCACCCTCAAAAAAAATTACGAATATTTCCGCATAGAGAAAGAAACTTCAAGTACATCTCAAACCCTTTATGAAAAGTACATTTTTAAAAAAGGGTAAAAACCGTTAAAAAAATAATGGTACAACTTTAAAAATATTGTAAACAAGATGGTTATGATTAAAATGGATTAATTTTTAATAAAATTTGTCAATAAAGCGATTTTTGCGTTTTTTACGTGAAGCGTCTTTTGCGATTAAAACAAAATAACAGGATTATATATATACGTACAGGATTATATATATACGTACAATCCTGTATATATACAGGATTGTTCACCACATACGACACGGAGTATTGTAGCTAAACGATTAGATTTTTACAAATTGTAAGTTTTGGGTTCGTTGAAGGATTATTAGAGCTACAATTTAAAAATATTTTTACAAGATACAGACCATATGGGCCCGAGTGTCCCAAATAAATAAAAAATATCAAAGTTGTATTTTTTTAAATGGAACACCCTGTATAGTATTGCATTTTTAGTTTCTACGATTAAAATAAAGGTAAATTTGATTAAGGTTTATTACACTTAAACCTTACCGTTTTTGAAATATTTTCAATTTTGCGAAATTGCAGTATAAATTTTAAG